TGCCCCCCTCCCATTTACTAGATCTTGGCTGTTTCTGGGCGCCTGTGTCGAGCGGGTGGTGTCTCCCCCCATAGGACGCACTGCTGCAAACAGTCGCACTAAGCAGAGGTCCAGAGCCGACCCCCCCCCCTCCCCTTATGATGCTCCAACCTACGTTAGCTTTGATCACCAGGAAGAATTTCGACCGCCCACAACAGTACCGAAACTCAAGGGTTTTCACGTGCCGGGCCCTGGGAGACACTCGCCCGACATTGTTTCGACATTTTTGTTGACACTTTTCTGGGTGCTCGGAATTATTTCTGGGATGCGGTCCTCAAGTAGGACGGGAACAACATAACCCTCCCCCCTCTCCCAATGTCGAAACGCCGAGTGAAGAAACGCTCACGAAGTCACGTGTGGAGCCCCCAAGAGAGCGCGAGGGCGCCCAGGAACGCGCTGGAACTCGGGTGGTTCCCTTGTGGGATACCCGCAGATCTCAACACAGAGAAATCGAGGGGACCTGAGGACACCTGTGGGGGGCATCGGCGGCCTGGCGGCTCCTCCCCCCCTTCCTTCCTTCCTCGGCGATTGGCTGGACTACCGGCGGCCTGACGCAGCCAGCCTGACACTTTCGGCTGCATTGATTAACTAATTTGGGTTGCGCACCGCTGGCGCGCCGGCAGAGGCAAGGCCACCAGCACGCCAACCTCTTTCCACCCTTCACCTGAGGACACTCCAACTCGTGCCTCAGGGCACGTCGGCGGATTTGAAGAAGGAGCGGTGATGAAACCTTCCCCGAAGAAAAGGAAGGCAGCAGGTGAAACGGGATTGGGACGAGGAGAAAGCCGTGCCGGAGCGTTCTGGACGTTCTCAGAGCGTGCCAGAACGCTCCGAGAAGGCCGCGGCGCCCGAGACATTTTCCAGAGCCGCTGGCTCTCAGAGGTTCTCGATGCATCGTCACCCGAAGTTGCCTTCGCCCCGGCTGCGTCTCTCGGTTGGAAGAGGAAGCGCCCTGAACCACCTGCGCCCATAACAGCAACTGGGGGGCTTTCGGATGTCCGCAGGCGGTTTCTCCGCAGTTGCCGGCGCTGGACCCACGCGCCTCCCACGCCCGAGGGGTTCACGCGGCAATCGTCGGGGGGTTCGGCTCCCAGGGGGGACTCTTCGGGTTCGGGGGTCTAGGTTTTCGAGCGTGCCCTGAACGTCCTGAACGACCGCTGAAGAGCCGTAGTCTCGCCCGTAAACCACGGGCCAACGTCAGGGGGGGTTAAGTTCATGGGGGAATGTTCTTTGGGCCAGTACGTGATTGTTCGTCTAGTCATCCTCGTGCACCCAGGCGGTGTTCGTGCCTAGCACGGGTTTCGTTGCTTATTTGGTTGTTTGTGTATGAATTGGTTTGCCGATCGGCGCGGGCCCTCAAACCCCCCTTGCAGTCGATCTTGGCTGTTTTTTGGCGCATGTTTCGAGCAGGTGGAGTCTTCGCCACAATTGACGCACTGTTCCGAACAGCCGCGCTAAGCAAAGGTCTGGAGCCAGACCTCCCCCCTTTTTTCCCCCTTTTTTCCGCCCAGTGTCGACACGCCGAATCAACAAAAACGCTGGCTACAATGAGCGGCTTGAATAAGCAGCAATTACTTGTCAAAAAAGGGCTCGGTCGTTCTTTAGGTTTGCATGCGTTACGTATCGCTCCTTATGCGCAATGTATAAATGACAGTTATCTTTATGCGTTATTCCTCTGACAAAAAAAGGTTTCGTTCCTTATGTATCGTCCCTGTGCTTAGGTCAGGCCGATGAATATATTTATTTATGGCTCCTCGTTCCAGCAACCCGACGGTCAGCGTTGCGCTGCTGTGCGGCATCGGGCTCTCCGCCCATCCCGGGCAACGATAGGGGGACGTGGGCTCGAGTCGGGCACGTCCTTCTACAGGAGGAAAGGAGGAGGAGGAGGAGGAGGAGGAGGAGGAGGAGGAGGAGGAAATAGTTTGCAATTCTTTTGAAGCGACAGTGTTTGAAGATTGTGTGGCTCTTTTGCATCATCATCCGAAATCCGCCTGTAGGAGGACACGCCCGACCTAAACGTTGGCGCACGGGGTAATGCATCGGCCCCCCATTGCCCACTTCTCGCCAACAGGGTCCTGATAGGCTGCGTACCCCGCCGGTTCCAGGTCGAAGGTTCCCCCTTTTAGCCATCCCCCCAAACGTTTTCAGGGCCTCACTGTCCCAGGACTCGAGGAAGAATAACGCCACAGCCAAGAACAAATCTCAGCCTGAAAAATCCCAGGACGCGGATGTCTTGGAATGGCGCTTGGTACCCCTGCTTGGCGCGCGGACCGCGCCAGGGGCGGCACCGAACGCCCCGCCAGGGGGTCCAGTGCCAGTGCCACCGCTTACCCATCGGTCGTTGAAAGTAGGTATTTTTGGAATCCCAGATTGCAATGTACTTTCAGCGCCTTCCTACTTCAAGAGTCGAGTGGTTCGCCCTCTTCCCTCCTCTTCAGGAGGCGGGCGGAAACCCAATCTATTTCCAACGCCTTCCTACGTCATGCTTCTACCTGCTTCTTTCGACCGATGGGTATTCATGTGATGCAGTTGTTGTCGTCACCTGCCGCAGTCTGATACGTGGCGAAGGCGCCGCGCCACAAGATTCTGGAATGGAAGTTCTGCTGTTGCATTATCTGGCGGATGTGCCGCGCGAATTATACCCCAGGGCGAAAACGAACCATACATATTTTGGCTATTCTATGTTGGCAGCATTGTTTTGCAATTATTACTTTCCATTTGGACGTGGCAAGTTCATCGCGCACGCACCCACATCAACGCGCGCCCTTGTTTCTTGCGCAGGGGATGTCAGACTGAAAGTTTGAGTCCCATTCCTCCCTCCCCAAACATGAACTGGGCACTTTCACTTCAGCCAGCGAAATTATCGTATTTGACATGGCTTGTTCTACACCCCACTGAGCGAGCATCTATTTTGACATGACTGCATGTGGCAGGGCATTGGTCGACTCTTCCCCTACAGCTGACATATTCAGTCCTTCTCTTTTTCACCCGGCAGGGGCGTCGGTCAGACCACAAACAAAACAAATTGCCCGAATTTGACACATTGGTTGTGTATTGCCCGCTTGGAAGTTCATACCTCCAGGGTGGCGCATGTGGGAATCTCCCGACCGCCCCAGGACAGGCGTCTGCCCCCTCTTTTCGAGGAAACGTGAGACTCGAGTAAGCCGGAACTCGGGTGTGCCGAAGTTTCTTGGCGAGCGCGTCCAGGATTTTGACGATCCGGTGTTCGTGGGATGTCTGCAGCGAGAGCCCGCGTCGAATTTCAGATTGGGTCTCGTCATTTTCATGATGGCCCCCCGTAAGGCCATTCCGAGTCCCCCGTACTCCGTATTCCATAATAAAGGCGGGGGGGTCACATTTGGGGGGGGGGTCTGATTTGAGATTTGAGCTGTCTTGGAGGGTTTAGGGGGGGGTCTGGACAAAGGGCAGCCCTTTCATGGATGGTCTGGGGGGCTCTAAAACTTCTCGTCTGGGAGGGTTGGGAACCCCCTCCCTTTTATTACGAAATCTGGAGTACCCGAGTCTTGCGTCTCCCCGATCTCTGGAAGGCTTCACCCGGTGTGGTGCTCTTCCTCCGCCATGGGCCTTCAGCGGATCGGTCTTTCCAGCACGTGCCGCAGACACGCTAACGGCGATGGAGGTTTCGGTGCTGTGGGAACGCGTGGCTCGTGCATTCCTACAATTCGCTTAGTCGTTTTCGTTCGATACGCTCGCACGATGGAGCTGCAGGAAAGTGTGGATCGCGATGTCCTGCCATTGGGTTCCCAACACCACCGCTGAGCTTATGATGCTCCAATCTACTTTAGCCCTGACCACCAGAAAGAATTTCGAGCGCCAGAGAAAGTACCGAAACCCAAGGGATTTCACGTGCCGGGCCCTGGGAGACACTCGCCCGACATTGGTTCGACACTGCTTCGACACTCTTTTGATACTTTTCTGGGTGTTTGAAATGAGTTCTGGGATGTGAAGTGGTCCTGAAGTCGGATGGAAACGACATCACGCTAAGCAACATCGCCGTTAGCGGGGCCTTGGGCGTGGGCCCCAGAAAGCTCTCGGGCCCTCCGGGGGCAGGCTTCTGCATCACCCCCCGCGCTGCCCGGCGGTCCCCGGGCCCCGAGCGCCACTCTGAAGGCCGAGATTGCCCCGAGGTCCGAGGTCGCAGGGGCATGCAGGATGAGGAGGAGGAGGAGGAGGAGGAGGAGGAGGGGGGGGAGGAGGGGGGGGAGGAGGGGGGGGAGGGGAGGAGGAGGAGGAGGAGGAGGAGGAGGAGGAGGAGGAGGAGGAGGAGGATCGTGAGTTCTCACGGCGTCAGTCACGGCGCTGAAGAATGAACCCTCTTCGCTTGGGAGGGGTTCAGTGCTCCCTAGTCGTGCCGCAGTCTGCCTCAGGTTATCCGCAGGTTCCCGCTGGGGAATCGAAGCGGTCTTTATATGGGAGGCAGGGGCCGCTCGTTCCTGATTCACGGTCCCTTCGGTCAGCGCCCCGACTGCAGACCTATCGGCGGCCAGCCTCACAGGCTCAGGCGCCGAACGGGCTGGGAGGGGCGCCCTGAGGTGGAGCAGAGAGCGCAGGGGGCGAGGAATGGCCGATCCGCCCCGGAGGGCTGGGGCAAAGAGGATATAGGAGGAGAAAAGTCGGAGGTGTATAGACCTCCTACCCTGACACGTCGATTAGTGAATTGGCCGCTTTCGGTTCGCGAGAGGGCGTCGCGGCCGTCATTTTTGCGGGTCCAGGTCCGTCGGTTTCAGTCCCAGGTTGTTGTCACTAAGGGGAGGTTTACTAAAGGGAGGTTTGTCCACCGCCGAAAAAAACACACATACACAATCCAACGTCGACTCCCAGGAAAGTGCAGGAACCGATGGGGACTGGGGGTGAGGACGAGAGCCCCGAGAATATATAGGAAAGTATAGGGGATCCTTGGATTTGTGTATTTTTGTTGTGTGTCCCTGGGCCCCTCTGAGGATCGGCGCCGTCGAGCGCCACCTCTCGAGGGCCCTGGCGACGAGGGGCAGGCCGCGGACGGCGCCCTCCGGAGCCCGCGACGACGAAAACGACGACGAGGACGAGCCGGCCGTGGCGACGACAGCGACGGCGGCGGTGGCGGCGGCGACGACGACGAAGGGACGACGCGGACGGGAATCGCTCCGATCCCTCCAGCCCCATGCGACTTCGATGGCTTCCGATTCCGATGCGCTTCGGCATCGGAGTCCGATGTGGGGTCCGCTGTCTCACTGGGGGGAGACTCGACTGTACTCTAAACCCTAGACCCTAGACCCTAAACCCTAAACCCTAAACCCTAAACCCTAAACCCTAAACCCTAAGGCATCCCGCCGACTTCGACTTCTCCCGGCTCGGCCGTCGATCTCCGCCGAGCGGGCTCGCGTCGATCGCCGAGCTGGCCCGTCGATCCGGTCCGGGGCTCCCCTGCGCGGGCCGGGGACGAGGAGGGCGGCGGCGGCCGCGGCGTCCTCGGGCCCCGGCGGCATCCCCGGAGGCCCACGGCGTCCCTCAATCGGGCCGGGCGAAAGGGGGGATTGGGAAAGGGGGGGTTACGAAATCTGCTGCATGCAGCTGGTTTTGGCCTCACGGAGGAGCCCATTCCTCGATACATGGCCGCCTCCCGGCGCCGGGAGGCGCCGGGAAAATCAGCTACGTGAGCTGATTCTCAAACCCCCCCTTTGCTATCCCCCCCTTTCGCCCGACCCGACTCAAGCAGTGGCGAAGCGTCCTGGCGTGCCTATATAGCCCCACCAAGCACTGTTCTGAGAGCCTTTTGCGGCTCCCCCGAGAGGTTCCTAGAACATCTCTGGCCGGGGCTGTCTTGGTTTAACACATCGGGATGTATGTTCTAAGAGCAGTGGTTTTTCCTTCGAGCATTTTGGGGTTCGAAGAACATTTCGAGGTAGGACTATAGGAATGCCCGGGCGGTCGGTCCCTGCTCAAGTCCCAGGCAGCTCGGTCCTCGGCGGCGGCTGTCAACTGGGGGCCGCAGCGCCAGCGGCAGCGGCGGCGGCGGCGGCCGCGAGGACGGGCAGGCACTTGAGCGCCGTGGAGCATGAACCTGACGCGGCCGATGGCCTGGACGTTCGCTCGCAAGTCGACCGCGCATGATCGCAGGTGGGCGCCCTCGTGTCCACTCTGGCATGGCGCGCTGGCGTCCCGAGTGATCCACCGCGTCAGGCCGCGACGCCATCTCCTGTAGGCTGATGTCGTGCAGCCCAGGTCTCGGGCTGCCTGTTTCACCCGCTTCCTCCCCCTCCCCTTCCCCTCCCCTTCTCCCCCTCCTCGCGCCACAGGGCTTCCTCGCGCTTGCAAAACGTGCAGGACCCGTTTCTGTTCGTCGCTCGAGTGATTGCCAGAGGTGGTGGTCCCCATGGTCAGGCCGGCCACAACCGGGGGAGCTGTGGTCCTTTTGCCCCCCGGGGGGACCCATCGATTTCGACACCTCTCTCGAGAGATCGTCGACGCGATGGGCTCCCCCAGGGGGGTGAGGACCACAGCTCCCCCGGTTGTGGCTGGTCGGTCTGTTATCCCTGACCTTCCAGAGAGCTATTTTTTAGCACTGGAGACCTAAAAACCTAAAAAACGAGACGAAACAGCCTAAAACCAAGACGTAGAATAGCTCTGGGATAGGTTTTTAAGTCGCGTGCTATTTTTTCCTGGAAGGTCAGGGATGGTGCAGCGTGGCCCCGGGCTTCCCTGGGGGGGGGGGGGGGGCGCAGGGGCGCGGGCCCCAGGGCGCCCGAGACGGCGCGGGCACTCCGGGCCAGGGACCCCCCGCTGGAAAGCTGCGGGCCTCGTGCCGGCCCCGGCGGCGGCTTCGGCGGCGGCTGCGGCCACGGCGACGACCGCGAGGCCGAGGCCCTTAAGGCCACGGCGGGGCGGCGGCGAGGCCGAGGCCGAGGCCGCTGACGGCGGCGTCGTCGCCGCCGCCGCGGCCGTCGTCGGCCGCCGACGGCGGTCGGCGGCGTCGCCTAAAACAGGGCTAGGATCGGGATAAATCGCTCCAGAGCGTTCCGGAGCGCTCTCAGAGCGTTCCGGAATGCTCTGGAGCGGTCGCGGCGCCCAATACATCCTCCAAACACGCCGATTCTCAGAGATTTCGAGTTATCCCGATCCGATTTTGTCCCGATCTTCGCGTCGTTTCATCGCCGTCACCGCCGAGCGTCGGCCGGCGGCGCGCAGGCTGCGGCGCAGTCTCGGCTCGGCGGCGCCGGGGGCGGCGAAGGCCGCCGGGGGCGGCCCCGCCGCCAGTGGGCCGCGCGGCCTGCAGAGCGCGCCGCCGCCCGCGTGGCTGGGAGAGGCCGCGCGCCACGGCGACGAGGAGCAGCGAAGGATCGAGGAGGATCGAAGAGTCGAACTGCCTGTTCGAGGCATCGGGCGGCTCGTCCAGAGCATCGAGCATCCCCGGGGCTGTCAGGTGGGGCCGGAGCGAATTGGGCGGGGGCACCGCGCCGCATCGCCCATGCACTGGCGATTCGGTGCGACCCGGAGCCCGGCCCGAGTCCCTGCCGGGCATCGGCGATGTGATGCAGTCTTCCGACCCGATTTGGCCGGCGACCCGATTTTCTCTAGCCTTGTTGTCCCTCCAGTATCGAAGCCTTCTCTTCCGAAGGATCGTTTGTCGACGAGCAGGATCGAGGATCGTCGCCAGCGTGGCAAGGGGAGGACCGCGACAACGACGTCGTCGTCGTTGTTTCCAAGGTTTCGGCTCGCTGAGGGCAGCGACGACGACGACAGCAACGTTGTCGTCGTCTGCATTTTTGGCTGTGGAGGACCGGAAAAAGTCCAGAAACCCAGACATCGGATGAAATGAGTTATTCACTCGCTTTGCTTTTTCCGTAGGCCAATGTGTAGCATCCTTGGCAATCGCCTGCGTTCTCTCGAGGGCATTTCTGGAGCCCGTTGGGGTCTCTTCGGGGAGCCTCTTAGGGAGGGTCTTTTAGGGGCAACGATAGGGGGGAATAGGCATAGGTGGGAATATATCAACCCTCAGTCGCCCATTGATCGCCGATACGGGTCCGATGGCCCCAACCCGCCCAGGAAGGTGCGGTTTCGCGATCGGAGGCCTATCGCCGATCTATCTGCAATGCATCGCCGATTCCAGATCGATGCATACCCCCCTATGCCAGTCACCCCCTATCGTTGCCGCTCAGTCTTGGGGGCTTCAGGGGGCCTCGTAGGGGGTCTTCTGGCAGTCTCGGAGGCCATCTCATCGGGAAGATCCCTACATGTGAGTTCGGATTTCCCAAGATTTCCCTTCTCATAGCTTTTTTGGAGGCAACTGGAGCCCTCGCGACGGGCCTCTCGTGCCGTCTTGGGGCCTTCTTGGGCCGTTGTGGGTTCCTGGGAGCCGTCTTATGCCGATTTTGAGGCCTCTTGGGCCGTTTGCGGGAATCGGGAGTTCGAAAAAGTGGAGGCGTCCAAATCCGGCAAAAACGAAAATCAAGGACGTTGATTTTTTGCGGTCATCCTGGGGCTATCTCCAGTTTCTTTGACGACCGCCTCCCAGGGGCGCCAAGATGCTTTCGCTTCGCGCATCGCGGCTTGGGTTGGAGAGGCGCCACCCCCCAAGCAAGCCCCACGAGGGCGCGAAGGCAGCCGACGGTCGCGTATCGCGGGGCGCGATGCGAGAAGTCAGGTCACCCAGAGGACCGAGACACTGAGGATCGAAGCTGTTGGACGCCTTTTGGCAACCTCTGAGCCTGCGGGGACTCAGGAGGAGAAAAAACACACAGACACAATTCATCGTCGATTCCCAGGAAAATATGGGAAAGTATGGGAAGTGGGGGGGACGACGAAAGGCCAGAAAATATTCGAAAATATAGGGAATCCTGTGATTTGTGTCTGTTACCGAACACGGTGGAGCGGCGGGAACGTAAGCGTGAGCTCTCGTATGCCTCCGTCTTCAGTATCAGCTCAGGCTAACATGTGTCTGCCTCCAAGGGGCCGAAGCCCCTGATCGAACCAAAGGGTTGCGGAAAGGGGCTGAGTGTCTGGCATCCTCGGAAGGCCTCCAGAGGGACTCTGGGTCGACTCGCACGCCCCAGAATTCTAGATGCCAAGGCACCTGTAGGCAGCCTCCCCTCGCAACTCGACGCGGTTCGACCAGGGTTTAGAATCCAACTCTCGCGCGTAGCGCGTACATCTACCATGGAGCGCGCAGCGCTGCAGAACACAGGTGAGCTCGTGCGCCTCGGTTCAGTAGAGGGTGTCGTCCTCGTCGTAGGCCTCCCGAACGCCCCTCTCCTCGTCACTCTCGAAGCTCTCTCAGCCTCCCGGATCTTGAGCGCCTGATCCTCCTCCACGATAACGTATTCACCCCTCTGCAAGATCCCCCGCAGTAGGTCGGCACACCCGTTGCGCTCCGTCAGAGAGTCGGTGATCTGATGCCGTTTGCCATCCACCAAGCGGATGCTGGCACCGCTACCATGCATGCTCTCCTTTAGTATCGCGATGTCCAGAGCGGTCCTCCGGTCCTTGCTCGGGCCGCCGGAGATGTTGTGCAGGTGGTCGTACAAGCATTTGCTGTCCGTGACCACAGTCAGCGGGAACGTCCTGCCGGCCTCGGGCGCCGTCCGGGCGTCCAGGCCAGGGAAAGCCAGCTGAGCGAACAGGCTGCGTAGGTAGATTCCGTTCGCCAGCCCTTCGTCCACTCCCAGCGTCTCGGCGGCCAGCTAGCTCGGCACCTTCCGAGCGAGCCGGTGGGATCTCCATGTCATTGGGGATATCTTACCCCACATCCCCTTACAGATGCTCACGCCGCCAGCGAGGAGTAGCCAGCCCGCCTGGCTCGCCTGGCCCTTTGCGTTCGCCCAGGCCGCGTCCGCCACCGCAAAGAAGCCCAGGTTTTTGAGACTGATCGGCCTGATCCAGAGCGTCGTGTGGGAGAAATCCTTGGCGATCCTGGCCACCCGGTTCCCCTCCAGCAGGTCGGACACCTTCGGCTTCGGGAAAGTGCCCTGTAGCAGCGAGACTGGCCCGCTCAGGTCGGGGCGTGTCTCGCGTCCCACGTAGTTGAGGGATCCTGCCACGGCTCTCAACGCGGATATCTCCTGATCGTTGCACGGCTCGTCGGGCGTCGCACGGCGCCCGGCTGTGATGTTGATCATCTCGATCTCGTCGACCATGTTCTTCTGGTTGATCTTGACCGACTTGTCGGGCAGCTGCTCCAGCTGCTTGCCCAGGAAGTCTCCCTTGCCCTTCCGGTACTTGCCGAAAGGAAACCTCCGCTTGATCTTCTCCATTGCCCTCTGAAAGTACTCGTCGCTTCCGCCACACGTATCGTCCACGGCTAGTGCGATCGACCCTCGGTACTTGCCGTCCTGGTGCAGGTAGAGCAGGCAGGGATCATACGAGCTGATCTTGAATCCCGCGGCCAGAGCCTCGGTGGTGAAGCTCTTGTACCACTGCAGCGGCGCGTCCCCGAGTCCGTAGACGCAGACCAGCACCTCTAGCAGCGACCCCGGCTCGGCTCCAGGAACTCCGTCAGCGGGTAGCTCACAGTAGAGCGGGCCCTGCTTCCGCTGATACCGGTACCCGTTCATGAAGGCCGAGCTGATGTCTCCCAGCTCAATGTCGAAGCCCATGGACACGTTCAGCTGCATGCTCATCATCCAGGCTTCCTTCGATACCATGGGCGAGTAGGTCTCCAGCTCGGCGAGGTCTGGGTCCTTGTCTCCACGTCCGACCCAGCGGCACTTCGCCTGCCGTCGGCCGTCCTTCTGCTTCCACGTGTAGCAGTGTCGGCTAGGCATGATCCTGTCCCCGTGCGTCTTCCTGATCTCGTTCGCCTCGGACGGCGGCACAATGCGCACTGCCTTCGCGCCCTTGATGTTGTTCCACTCCGTGCCCTTTGCCTCCACGAACTCCTCCTTCTCGTCCTCCGTGAGGTTCTTGAGGTATACCTCCTTCCGCTTCGCCGCCTGCTTGACGGAGAGGAACGCCGCCTCCCATGTACCCGTTGCGTCGTCGGTCATGGGCATCTCTGGTGTCTCGTCCACTTGTTTCTTCGGCGACCCAGGTCCTTCCGGCACCGGTGCCGGTGCGTAGCTCTCGCGGGCGCTCCTCTTGGAGGAGTAGCGCCTCCTTGGGGCCTCTTCGGTCGACGCCCTCCCAATCATCGGGGCGTCCTCCTGCTGCTCGGCCGCGCCCTCGCCGTCAGGTCCGAACACCTCCGGCACCGGGATGGGTGGCACCATCTCCTCCCTCGGCGGCTCGTCCTTCGTCTCGCTCCCCGCCTGGTCCTCCGCCTCGGGTCCCGGTGGGTCCAGCTGGTCCGAGATGTCCTCCACAGCTCGCTTATCCTGGGATCCGACAGGCTTGCGCACCCCGCCGGTCTCCGTCACATACCGATTCGCTTGAACTTCTGCCGTCGTGGCGGCCCTCAGCTGCTTCCAGCTGCACACACAGGATGACGCCACCTTGGTAGGACACGTAGGCCTTCCCCGGGATGTTCGTGCTGATGACGGTGGCCGGTCCTCTCCAATGCTCCCAGGCCTCTCGCTTGGGCCCCTGCTGCCTCCAGTAGTACACCTTGTCGCCCGGCTTCCAGTCGCCTCGAAAGGGCGCGCTCCTCCTGTTCTTGGCCCTGTCCAGGCGGTCCAGCACCGACTCCCGGGCATGCGCCTCTCGGGCTGCCAGTCGCAACCCGATCGACTTCGCGAGGGCTCGGTCCCCTGCAGCGTGGCGTGACACCGTCTCCAGGCTCACGTCATCGTCGTCGTCGTGCGCGCCCTCCGGCAATCGAACTCCTCGACCAAACACTCGTAGATCCGCGCCTCTCTCGTTCACCGCGCAGTTGACCGCGTCGAACAGCTCCTCCTGGTCGTCGGCGCTCAAGATCGCCTCGGTCACCCTGATGCGGTAGTACGTCCTCTTCCAGAGTTGGCCCGCCGTCTCGGTCTTGCCGTTCTGGTTCTCGCTCTCGGCTCCGACCGGGTCCAGCTCCGTGCCCTCGGCGCTAGCCCTATCCGCGAAGATCCCGCGGATGATGCCCCTCTCCTGGTCGCTGATGAGGCGCTTTGGTCTCCCGTATGGCCGCATCCAATGCTTCCGGTATGCCTGCCTGATCGTCGTGCTCTCTCGGTCCGGGAGCCTGATGACCATCTGCTTGCCCGTTCCCCAGTCGACGATGTTGAGGCACGGGGTGGTCTCGTTCTTGGGCTTGTCCTCGCCGTCCCAAGTGGTGTCCACGAACAGCAGGTCCATGCCGATCACCTCGTTGAACTCGAAGCTCTCCGGCGTGAGCAGCCTCGCCGGCGGCGTCGACTTGGGGTGCTTCGTCGCGTCGCAGACGTCGCA